TTCATGTTTAAAATTAGTTTTAAATTTAGTGCTTATTATTATTATTTTTTTTTTTTTGGAGCAAAGTCTTTCAATGGGAGGAGGTTACTTTGCTTCAAAATATTGTTTAATTGTAAAATTGCTAGATTTCTTCAAATGGTGCAAAGTAGGACCACTACAATCAATACACACATACATGGAGCAATGTACTATTTATTTAAAGACCAATAAAATATTTAAAATAACACAATTGGTGATATAATTTCAGATTAAATTGTTGTGAAACCACTTGTAAAAATCAATTTCAGTTCACAATCAAGTGTTCTGCTGGTTTTAAATTTGCTAAACATTACAATGTTAGCAACTGTTAGTTTGTTAGAGACTGTGGCTATTGTTCACAGGGTCACCAACAACTATTCTGGAGTTTTTGAAACTGATTGAACAATAATTCCTTCGTGGCCGCTTCCAGCCTTACTTATAGAACCGTCGTTCGGGGGTACTTTGCACCACTTTTAGGACAACTTATCCTTCTTATTTATTTTAGGCTATGTTATTTTTTAATACCCACTTGTATTAGTGCTTATTTATTAAAATAAGAGCTGCTGATTCTTTTCATGTTTAAAATTAGTGTATTGAAGGCCCGTTTTGATGAATTTTCTGGCAAGATCGATAAAATGTTGGATATGATGATTAAGTTAGCTGGAGTACCAGAAGACATTGCTGCTATGAAAAGCGAACTAGCAGGGGTAAACCAGACACTTGCTTCTTTAGAACCCAGGATTTTAGAGGCTGAAAAGCGGCTTGACTCCCTTGAGAATGAGCTTAGCACCCTGAAAATAGCGACTCCAGAATCTGTCAATTGTGATACTATCCTCGAAGAAATCGAAGGCAGACCCACTTGTCTGAAAGATAAGTTAAAATCTAGGAGAGATGTGAGAATAGGAGTACAAGACAGGATGGCCTGCTGCATTTGCCTCGCGTCCAGTTAGTATGTGGTAAAAAGGGCTTTTCTTTTTTGCTCCTCAGAAATACAACCAACTGCCAGATTATGTAAAAAAACTTAGTTATAAGTTTTTTCGACTGAACTCCAAAAATTGTCTTTTGTAAATATAAGTTAAGGCATTGTTAGTTAATAAGTCAATTATTGTTTTTGTAATATTTCCTTTTGTATTGACTTGAGTAGTTTTGAAAACAGTATTGTTGCTGAAAACCACTTGAAATAAAAGACGTTTTATTATTATTAGTAAAATTTACAAAAGCTCTGATGAAAATTGTCAAAATTTATGCCTTACTAGTGTACATGTTGCTCGATTTCGAGCAATTGCAAAGTATTACATGAGTTATTTCAAAACGAATAGCAATCATTTTAAAAGAGTCAACTCAAAGATTACCGGTGTGTAACTCAGACCATGTTTATCTTCGTTATTGTTAACCTAAAGTATTCCGGCCGGTTTTCTCCTTCTCAAAATGCCTCGCTGTACAGGCAACACAGGTCATTGATAGAGGGCCAATCGAGAACGAAAAGTCGTTTTGGGGTAGTGTTAGGGGGCATTTGTAACTTATAGTTGAGATTGTCCAGGGTCAGGTGCTGACTGTGATGAGTTAAGCCAGACAAAAAGAATTTTTTTTGTCTATCGTTAAGCCTATCACGCGCCACTGTTCTGCGGTCGTTATCACGATTACACGATGTTTCGTTGTCGCGTCGGAGGCATTTAAAAGAAAAAAACAACAAATAAACAAATCGTAAATACATGTACTCAATGTGTTTCATTGAATTGAAAAATAAATAACAGCTGATCAAAATGTAAACAATTATGTTCTTCATAAGGATAACATGGGAACTTTAACAGCCACTGGGGTAGATCCCAAGGGACTTTTTCAAAAATGTAAGGCCAGTTTGCAAATCTACGCGACACGCTCTTTCCAATGAGATGTCAATGGATAAAATCGGTTGAGAAAAGGCGGAGGAGTTCAACCGACAAAGTTTCATGTAGCGTATTAATTATATAGATTGTATTTAGTTGACTGTTATTTGTTGTAAATATTACTTTTTCCCTCAATATAAAAAAACTATAGTAAACAATGTGTATGACTTCAGGTCTCTTTAAGGAGACTTTAATACGCCCGCAGGTATTGTCTGTTTCTCCAATAATAGACCTCCCTTGTAAACAAGTATTTATTTGCAATAGACCTTCTTAGTACAGTCAGTTTTCATTGTAATAGATCTCACTTGTATAGTCAGTTCATCGTAACAGAGCTCCCTAGTACAGTCATAATTTCCTGGTAATAGACCTCTTTTGTATAGTCTGTTTTCATCGAAATATACCTTCCTTTATAGTCAGCATTTCATCGAAAAACATTTTTAACATAAATCATGGATTTGGTGCCTGGTCAGGAGGTTTGCGTGGTGTGTATGCACAAGGTTCTTGATTCTGAAAAAGGTATAAAATGTGAGAAAAAATGTTGTCGTTGGCTCCATTCTTCGTGCGTCAACCTCTCTGACACTGAGTATGCAGCTTTATCTTCAAACAACAAGAAAAAATGGTATTGCTACCGTGTTGACTGTATTAATCCTGAAACTCATCCCTCGAACACTTTGAAGGCCCGTTTTGATGAATTTTCTGGCAAGATCGATAAAATGTTGGATATGATGATTAAGTTAGCTGGAGTACCAGAAGACATTGCTGCTATGAAAAGCGAACTAGCAGGGGTAAACCAGACACTTGCTTCTTTAGAACCCAGGATTTTAGAGGCTGAAAAGCGGCTTGACTCCCTTGAGAATGAGCTTAGCACCCTGAAAATAGCGACTCCAGAATCTGTCAATTGTGATACTATCCTCGAAGAAATCGCTGAGCGTAATAACTGCTCGCGCAATATCATAGTATATAGGATTGTCGAATCTAATAGCTCCGATGTTGAGTCGAGAGTCAATCACGATAATACTACCGTAACCCTGGTGGTAAATAAATACTGCCAGCCAAATCAAGACTTAGGATTCAAGACTTATAGGATTGGGAAAGCCTCTAACAAAGGTCCTAGACCTCTAAAAGTTATTTTCAAAGAACAAACTATTGTTATGGACATCATGAAGAATCTAAACATCGAAACTTTAAGGAATCTTGACCAATCCCTCGCCAATGTTTCTATCACAAGAGACCGAACCAAGCGTGAAAGGAAACTGCTCAGCCACTTGCGGGAGGATCTGGAGGCTCGGACTAAGGCTGGAGAGGCCGGACTGACAATCAAATACCGGAACGGTATCCCTAAAATTGTATCAGCAAAAACTAGATAGGCCTGGTAGCAGCAAAGCAGTATTAAGTTACTACCAGGTCTTGTGTGATATTTAATCTTTTTTTCTAATGTTATCTACCATATCTCTCTAGTCATCATTTTCTGCTATTGCTGGTGTATTATAATTGCTATTGTATGTATTGCTATTGCATGTACTAATTTATGTATGTATGTATTATCTTTTTTTGTTATTCTAGTCGCATGTTTTCTTGTAGTAGCCTATATTATCGATTGTTATTGTTGCCAAATTTTATCTATTGTTATGCTTGCTATTCAACCAAGTCTTTTCTATTGCATGTAATGTTAGTCTCTTATCTGCCTGTCAATAAATTATGCAAAACAACAAAAAAAAATTAAAAAAGCATGAGAAAAGGCAGAAGGGAAGAAAATTTAATTAGGCTAAGCAATTGTATTTCACTCTTTAATCACTTTTCGTTCATTTAATCTCAATCTTTCAATATTGTATCTGTATCAGCATGTCAACCCTGTAATGTCAACCCTTGTAAAAATGGTGTTATACCGTAAACAAATAAACAAACAAACAAACAAACCTTTTCTTCCTTTAAAGTACACGTATTGTGGCACTTTGTTAAACTTGAATTCAAAGATACCACTTACTCTAAGGACCCTTAATGGAGGATGGAACTGTAGACGAGAATGTCTCTACAGAATATAAACTTCTTCAACGCATTCATCTGATGGGAACTGAAATAAGTGCCAAACCAGTCTACAGGAGTCCCACAATCGCAAGGTTCACTACGACAACCAACGTCGACGGAAATATCCGTTCCAAGTTGGTCAGCTGGTGTTGAAAAGGCTGGCGCCTCAATTTGAGGGATCCTTCGAAATAATCTCGGATCAGACTTCAATGACAGAAAAATAAAACTACCTGCGTAGCTCATGCCAAAAATCTCAAACTATTCAATTCCTAGGCACCTCGCACATCTCCGCCGCGGGTGTGCCTCCCCTTCCTATCTACTAACCCGGGTTGATTGTCGTCTCCTAAGACTTCAGCTTAAACCCAACTCCCGTTAAAAGCATGGAGCGTGAGTTCAGCCGAGTTTCAAGGCCCGATAAGGAGAAGTTGAAGACGGGAGGCTGCTTCAATGACCTCCACATCGAAAGTTTCCTACGACTTGTAGAATGACGAAGTCGACATACCCCAGGTCTACCGAACAGCTTATGCATCGAGACCCTTTTTCTGGCAGACCAAGGGAGAAGAAAAATAAATGCCACCACTCGTAGATTCCGAAGAGTATACCCATTCCTACCGGAGGTCCTGCTGGTAACCCTATTTATTCCAGGACATCATGTGGTACTCTTGGTCTTGTTAACTGTACAGTTGGTCAATAAACCGATAAATGTGTACGACTCAATGGGCTACAAGCATCCCAAGGAGATGCGACAACTCTTCAATGCCCTGCAGAGGAACGCCCAAGTCAACGACATACCATGGTCCCCGGAAGCCTGGCACATGCAAGACACGTCAGATTTTGGGCCAAGGCAACGCAATGGAGTGGACTGTGGCATTTTTATCCTTTGGTTTGCCGAACTTATCTCTAGGACAACACATTCCCCATGCTTTCACCGATAATGTAAAAAACAGTTTTTCCTGATAAAGACCCTACATAACCTCCCACTTTGACAGCATAATCTAAGTCTTTGTTTAAAAAGAATTGACAACTTAAACTCTTAGAGCAGAGGAAGTAAAAAAACACACAAGTATTTAACATAACTTGTAATAAGAAAGAAAAGTACAAGGCAATGTAGCTCGTTCTCTTTAGGATTTCTTTTCCAGCTGCATATGTGATTTAGCCTGAAAGAAACAGTTTTATAACATCAGTATTGAACATGTATTTATAAAACCTTGACCCTTAGAGCGGTATTATTAAACAGTGTTGTTTGCACGTTATTGGTATATATTACGTATCACAAGGTGAAATGATTAATGTACAGAAGCAAACATTTAGTAATACATTTCTTTATAAATAGAAAATCCGTTACTGCAGAGAGTTAGCACGAATTAATTAGCTGAAATAATGGTTTATATACATTATCTGAAAACTTTGATGGGATAAGTACTGAATTTTATTACCTATGTTATTAAAATTAGTTTAGGTTTTTGGCTTGATTCTTACCATACCAATGCAAAATTTAAGCATGTAACAACCTGGTCCGGTTGATTCGAAGTTGATTTCACAAGAAAATGTATAAAAATTTTAAAGTTGATACCGTGTTGCCTAACAATAGTTTTATAGATTCACTATACTTACTTGTCGCTTGGCCGGGTCTGGTAGAAACCTGTGTATAACGGGAGTAAGCAGGTCGCGGTCGACAGTGGCCGGGTCTGTAAACCCCGTGGCCCAGCTGACTAGCATGCCTACAACTAGGGTGATTGTGGTACCAATAACTGAGTACCACATGTAGGAAACCCTGTATACGGCCAGTGGCTCCTCACTGAAACAAAGAAACCATCATGTGGCATATATAAAAGAGATAATGGAGAAATGATATTTTAAATTAGGTATTTTGGATTTGATGAAGTTAGAAACACTATTCTTACTCAGAGCATCATACAAGAGGAGACAATTTTAAAACGTGAAGATAAATATGAGGATAAGATCACCAAATACGATTCTTGGTATATTCTGGAAGTTTCTTCTTAAACCGCATATACTGTATAGAGAGTAGTACTCTAGTTATAGTTGTAAAGAACACACTTGATATCTATGAGCATTACGGTATGTTTTGATCTAGACGAAACTCAAGGTGGTGCCTGGGGAAAAAGTAGTAACAACAAAAGCACTCATTTTGTCATGCAAAACACAACAGAAAAATACACTGATGCACTAAAACAGTGCAGGGCCACCGAGTGAGTGGGGCGACGGGGGCGAGAGCCCGGGCACCGCGGTCAGGGGGCAGGTGCAACGGAAAAAATACAACAAAATTGAAAAAAAGGTTAAATGTACATAACGTATTTTTGAAAGTTATGTATAGCTGAATTTTGAATATTACGTTGTATGTAATTATTGAACAAATACATATTATTTGACACCAATCAATTTTTATATTTGCAACGTTTTCCCAAATTAAACATTTGATGAGAGTGGAGTAACAGGATTTGTTTGTATACTACTTTAAGTTTAGTAATAATGGCAGAATATTAAGCCCCACTGTGGAGTTGAAGGCCTTGTGCCGACTTAATTATCTTAATATAAATCAATATTTCAATCTCTTATTTCACTATGTAAGAACAACTGTAGGTAGAATTTAAAGTGAAATTGCGATACTTAAAACCTCGGATTACGGGCAAACTGATTTAAGTGAAAATTAAGCGGCTGTTTTAGTCCAACTAGTCAGTCTGGCAAAATGGGGATTCCAATTACAACTATGGAGCTACAACTTGTCAAAGGTTATTTGGAGCGTCACGAAGGAACAGTAAGAGCATTTGCCTATCTAAGGCAGCACTCCCGGAGAAGAGGGGGCTCTTAGTTTCATGAAGAGACACAATGAAAAAATAAGAGCCAGGGATGTTTATACATAACTTGACAGTTATGTCCCTAGGTCTGTCAGAAAAAGAGAGTCGATGCATAAGCTGTTCGGCTGGTATCATAAGCTGTATCTTCTTCGTTCTACAAGTCATAGGAAACTTTCGATGTGGAGGTCATTAAAGCAGCATCCCAGTTTAGGTTCTCCTTATCGGGGCTTGAAACTCGGCTGACCTCACGCTCCATGCCTTTAACGGTAGTTGGGTAAAAGCCGAAGTCTTAGGAGACGACAATCAACCCGGGTTAGTAGAGAGGAAGGGGAGGCACACCCGCAGCGGAGATGTGAGAGGTGCCTAGGAATGGAATGGCTACGCAGGTAGTTTGGTTTGTCTGTCATTGAAACGTGAACCCATTTCGCCCTTTACCCGATATTACTTCGCAGGATCCCTCAAATTGCGGTTCCAGCCTTTTAAACACCAGCTGACCAACTTGGAACGGATATTTCCGTCGACGTTGGTTGTCGTAGTGAACCTTGCGATTGTGGGACTCCTGTAGACTGGTTTGGCCCTTATTTTTCAGTTGGCCCATCAGATAAACGTTTAAGATGTTTATATTCTGTGGATACATTCTCGTCTACAGTTCCATCCTCCATTAAGGGTCCATATAGTGAGTAGTATCTTTTAATTCAAGTATAAGAAAGTGCCCCATACGTGTATTTTAAAGGAAGAATAAGTTAAGTCATACACATTGTTGACTATAGTTATTTTATTGAGGAAAAAGGTAATATTTATAACAAATAATAGTCAACTGAATACAATAAGGCGTAAATTTTGACAATTTTCATCAGAGCTTATGTAAATTTTACTGAGCATTATCCGCGCCACAATTTTGAAAATTATAGAAGAACCACTTCTGCATTTCGTGTGAGCCCAGTCTTTGCACTTCGTACATTGCGACCAATCTTCATTTGGGACATTGTCATAAAATCTGTTCCACAGACTAGGCATAGCACATCATCTTCTTCGTCCGATGATAACTTCAATATGTGCTATTTCTTGTGCTGTCCTCCAATTTTTTTCCTTACATAAAGTTTTCCTCGCTGGCTTCTTACCTTCTTGACATTTGAATGTAACCTTTAATTGAAGATTACCTTCTATTCTATAGCATATGTATGCCCTTCTCGTCTTGTTGTTGTCTAATGTCTTGAAGAGAGGCGGAAGTTGAAGACCGGGAACTCACAACCCCTGTTTGTTGTAAAATAGATACACCTAAATTCACTGAAAGTGAATTTGCAGTTAAGCTCCCGAGCCTGCTTGTTGCGAAGTAAATGCACCTCCATTCTTTCGAATATTTTGTAGTGGAGGGGCCATTGGGTCACCTACATTGCTGGATTCACCACCGTCATTGCAAGTAGAAGAGTAGAGTTGGTGGGAGTTTGTTGCTCTATTGGCACAGCTATCTGCTTGGGTTCAAGACGATCGGGGAAGTAGTTCGGAAGGAAATCAATATCCATAAAAATATCTCTACTTAAAGGATAAACTCCCGACACTCTGAATCTGACATAATATTGGAAGGCTTTAGGGAAGACATCTCACAAGGTTCCTGGATTGTCTTAAATACAAAGGGATTTTCCTGGATTGTTCTTAATCCAGCTATCACAAGCGGAATTTAAAAATGCCTTCAAGGGGCCAAACACTGACGTATCTAAAAGTTGGAGCTTGTGGGAACAGTGAGAAGGAAATAAAAGCTTTGTAATGCCGTTTCCTTTTGCTTAGTCAAGGGCTGGAACTGACATGTGGTGTTCATGGTTGTCCAGTAGCAGGTGGACTAAGCATTCTTTTGTACACTTGACATGCAGTACACAATGATTTAGAAATCTAACAAAATCTCGTTCTATCATCCACCCAGAAGAGATACAACTAATTGGTCCATCTCTAAAAAAATTTCCTTTATAATTAACCCTTGGGAATACAAACAAGGGCGGAACACTTATTCCTAAATGCTGACACAGTAACAGCAACTATCACAAGGGAACCTCTCTCTGCTGATGTTAAATTACCTATACAGGGTGTTTTTTTAAAAACTTGCATCTTTATTTATGTAAAAACCGCAATAGATAGAAATATGCAGTTTGCGGGAATCATCTATTGACGTAGGGGGACCAATTGTTTTGAATTCAACGTTACATTCACATTCCCCCCCTTTCCCCCCCTGCCCCCAACTTAATTTTTTTAAACAGAAAGGTACCCCTTGTGACATATCAAATAAAAGAGCATGAAAAAAGAAAATGTTTGATGAAAAAAAATTGAAAATCGGTTCATAAATTTGTGAGATTTTCCCCCCCTCACCCCCCCGGAACTTAATTTTTTTTAATAGCAAAGTACCCCTTGTGATATATCAAATGAAAGAGCATGAAAAAAGAAAATTTTTGGTGAAAAAAAAATTAAAATCGGCTCATGAATTTGTGAGATAATCACCCCCCTTTTCCCCTACCCATAACTTGTTTTTTAATAGCAAGGTACCCACCCTTGTGACATATCAAATGAAAAATAAATTTCACCAAACATTTTCTTTTTTCATGCTCTTTCTTTTGATATGTCACAAGGGGTACTTTGCTATTAAAAAAAATAAGTTCCGGGGGGGTGAGGGGGGGAATATCTCACAAATTTATGAACCGATTTTCAATTTTTTTTCATCAAACATTTTCTTTTTCAATGCTCTTTTATTTGATATGTCACAAGGGGTACCTTGCTATTTAAAAAAATTAAGTTGGGGGCAGGGGGGTAAAGGGGGGGAATGTGAATGTAACGTTGAATTCAAAACAATTGGTCCCCCTACGTCAATAGATGATTCCCGCAAACTGCATATTTCTATCTATTGCGGTTTTTACATAAATAAAGATGCAAGTTTTTAAAAAAACACCCTGTATGCTTAAAACGTTATCGAGCAATAATTCTGTTTGGGCGTTGGCTTATGACAAGCCCAGACTCATCACTGAAACACATTGGAAACCTGCTGGACAAGCTTGACGAAGGAGTCATACATATCAGGTTGTGGAGGGCTATTAGCGATTTCTCTGTCAATGATCTCCCTAAAACCCGTCCAGTTGGCCTTTTTGAAATTAAACCTGCACCTTAGAGGAACAACTTCAGGTTTATCAACAGCACTAACAGTGCATACTATAGGTCTGTTTTGAGTTCGGGGAATCGGATCACCTACAGACTTTTCACACTGAGAGGCAATCCTGCTGCTCACAAAGATGTTGTCAGGATTTATAACCTCTCTTCCATCTACCGCTGTTAAAGGAGCAGGGGAGCTTAGAATCGTGGATGAGCTGCAGGTCATTTGTCTCAGCCCAGGTTTCAAGTTTTGTCCCATTTTCACTTGTCTCTCTGTGTCCCCAAGCAATGCTCTGACAATTAAAATCCCCCAAGACGAAATTAATGTCATCACAGCATAGATTATCGGGCTCTGTAAATACATACTGAGATTCGGGAGGCTTATACAAAGAGGTGATACTGTACTGTGGTGTCTGGCCGTTAGTATCTCAGTATTGTTCCTCTCAGTCAGCGAAGATGAAGTGATGTCAATGTGTGGCCTGGCAAAAACAGCGCTACCATATTGATCATGAGGTCTCTCTAGAATCAGTCTCATTCCCTCTATGTTGGGTCTAGGTTTTAAAATGCCCGGTGTGTTTCTTGCACAAGGAGGAAGTCGCATTCGAACGTCTTGCACATATCAGACAGTAATACTTCTTTGTCTTTCGATATTCCCTCGATATTAATCGAGATCGTTACTAATGGCCTTGAATAAGACCGTTTAGGCGGATTCATTTTTCGAAGTCTTCCGGTTGTAGAAGGATTTGCCACTGAAACGGAAACGTTGCCCGGGGTGAGCCCGATTGTGATGTCCTTCTTAGCGTGTAATGGTCACAATCTTCGGGGAGGCTCCTTCTGTGCACCCCACTATCATGATGCATGCGAGTGAAAAGAACCGAAAAAAGGCAAAAAGTGTGTGTGCTTTTTTTAAGCACGTTTTCCTAATTGTTTGGGAGCATTTGATTGTGGATAATTAAAAATCTAATCACCAGGTGGTCCCAACGCAGAACTGTATAGGAATAGAAAGGGTATATTTCCTATAAATGTTCAGCTTATCTGTGATGCAAATCTAGTAATAAGTAACATTGTTGTTCGATGGCCTGGGTCAACCCATGACTCGCACATCTTTCACTCCTCCAGAATACGAGTTGAATTTGAATCAGGCGTGTATGGAAATGGTCTGTTGGTCGGTGATAGTGACTACGCTTGTGCTAACTATTTAATCACCCCATTAGGCTCTGTCACATCACAAGAGGAAAACCTATTCCAAGAGTCAATCGTGAGAACCCGAAATCCGATTGAAAGGTGTAACGGGGTGTGGAAACGTCGATTCCCTGTGCTTTCCCTAGGGATTCGATTTAAGTTAAACCGGATCGAAGGTAGCATTGTTGCTACTGCGGTTCTCCACAACTTTTGTAATAGGAAGAATGAAGATGTCCCACCCATAGATGATGAAATTGAAGCAGCCATCGAAGCTCTAAATGCAGCACAGCTGCTAGACCAACCAGCAACCAGAAGGCGGCAGGGTCGTGAAACAAAGCTTGACCGAAACCAAGCAGCCAAGGAAACCAAGGAACAACTTGATCCATAACTTGAGCCGTAAATCAGGGTCACGCCACACTATACACAGTTTTAACGAGCTTAACACGAAAGGATTTAGTCCAGAAAACAGCTATTTGCCACCAGCTTAATCAAATGGAATTTCGTACGTGATGAGTTTTTTGCGGACATCAACCAGCTAATTATATTTGGCAATGAGTGGTTATAAACAAAAACATAACCTCTAAGTACATAAGTAGTGATTGTTAGTCCTTAAGTCGGTGAGAATATATAAGGATGTGTACAGATTTTTTTATTGTTAAGTTAGCTCTGAGTGGTATTCCGTAAAATTTCGTACGTCCCTCATCCAAAATGTGTTTACCGGACTCGTATGGTAATACCGCACTCGAATACGTCTCGCACGGGAACGACCACACTAGTCCGGTAAACACACATGTTTTTAAGACTAGTAACGGAATATACTATTACCGGGGAAATATGTATATACCCCATATTTACAGCATTATGTTTGAAATAAAAACGTCTAAGGGACATGAAATACTACCCGCAATAAGAAATTTATTAAAAACATTCACCACCCGCATTACAATGTGTGACATCCCATTAGGCTGATAAGCAGTCACGACTAATAAAAATAGTTATGAAACTCAATATACTAACAACATATTACAGTAGTTTTTCAGAATTTTAAGTTAAATTATAGAAAACCTTAAAAATATGAAAAACCCGATTCGTTTGTTAATAAATATGTGTAATCAACTGAATCAATTCGGAAATTTTCTAATTAAATTTGACTTAAAGTGAAAAAAAATATGCTAAAGAGCTCAAACTTGCGATTCATTTCTCAAATTAATAAATTGTATTTAAAAAAATTACATTTTTAATACGTTAAAATTGTAATTAGTTTATTTATTCAGAGGGTAAACTACAATGAGAATCGTTTCATAAAAATAATTACAAATATTTGACACTTACAGTACCCGGGGATGTGTGACGAAGGCAATTGTCCGGTTCAGGATGTCCTCTGGACAGCCGTAGGTGTAGACTGGCTTCTGAGGGAATGTTATAACACCACGAGCAACAGCTCTCTGAGTACCCACAGACAGCCAAGCCAGGAACACAATGGACGCCAAACCTCCAGCCAGAGCACCCTGTGGAGTGGGGGAACGTTATAACACCACGAGCAACAGCTCTCTGGGTACATAGTCAGCCAAGCCAGGAACACAATGGACGCCAAGCCTCCAGCCAGAGCACCCTGTGGAGTGGGGGAACGTTATAACACAACGAGCAACAGCTCTCTGGGTACACAGTCAGCCAAGCCAGGAACGCAATATACGCCAAACCTCCAGCCAGAGCACCCTGTGGAGTGAGGGAACGTTATAACACCACAAGCAACAGCTCTCTGAGTACCCACAGGTTAGAGCAACATAACTTTAAGCAAACAATATTTTTGTATTTATAGTTGTTGAAAAGGTCGTTTATAAATTAAATTGGTAAAAATAGTTTACTCCTCCTCTAAATATCATTTATATTTGCAAATAGCTATATTATTAAGTAACTATATCTTTTAATTTGTTGCAATAAGTAACTCTGATAGTTACTTTCCAAAATAACAAACTTTTAATGTTTATAACGCAATTCTTAGTGGTTATTTGTGTTATATCCATTTTGTTAAACTGAAATAAATTGGGAGGAGTCAGTTACATTATGTCATCATATCCCTGTCAGTCCTCCTGACTTGTTTGGGATTGTTTCATTCTTCAGATGGGAAAACAAGATGTTTTATATATTTATAAAACATTGTATTATATATTTTTATATTTTTTTCCTAATTTGTATATTATAACCTGTAATATACCTGTGTATATTATATCATGTATTTTCAAAATAGCAAAAAAGACGAACCATTAAAATATCCAATTTGTTTGCCATAAACAACACTCATCAATACAAAACGAATAGTCATACAAACAAATGTTTATTACATTTCCATTATACAAAATAAGTATAGATTTTTTGCGTTAATAAAACAAACAGAAACGGTAGTGTGCTGCATCAAATATGTAATTCAGTACAACTGTCATGCTTGAAGGCGTACCTTTGAATTGGCCCATGGGAAAAACATCCCTAGAGAGAATACTCCGAGTAGAGCTCCTGTAGTAATTCCCCCGAGACTCTTGCCAGCCTGAATTAGATAGAATATATTTAATGCAGAATCATAATTACAATAAAGTATTGCAATGACAAGATGCACTGAACATTGTATCTGGGACAGGATCGCCCTCTCATGTTTAGGTTAATATTTCGACAATTGTAACTGCACAAACTCTATTCAATAGTTCTAGCTACAGCACCTAAGATAAATTATTGAATTACTTTCCACGCTTGAAAATCTTTTCTGTTTACAGCTGCCCAATGTTCGCAAGGTTTACCTGTATGATCGCGCCCAGCTGTTCCACTAAGAAGACCATGGCGACACAGAGGACGCCAATGGTGAGGACTATCCCTTTCATTATCCAAGAGGCCCTCGCCTCTGAGATGGGTCTCCTCAAACAGGGTGTGACGAAGTCTGTGTATATCACACCACACATAGAGTTTAGGCCCGTAGACATGGAACTGAATGGAAAACATATTTGAATGTATGAGCAATAAATAAAATACTTAGGCACATAGAGACAATTCAATATATTAAATGACTCTTTTGTACGAAATCAGGAAATGGTTTGATGTAAAATATCTCAAAACTAGGTTAAGGTGTTCATTAGTATACTAAGATGTACCCACGTTTTTCAAAAGTTAAGAAGATTTTTCTACTACGAATTTAATGCGTAATATAATGTTAAAGGGAAACTGTTTTTATCATTGCTTCGAAATACCTAGCATTCTTTTCTAAATCCTGTGTTCGTAAAAAGGACAAGTACTAGTTATAGTTCATTAGCGCAATTGGCTTGAGTGAAAAATTATGATAATGTTTCGTCAAGGAGCCGAAAGCGGGTACTTGAACAGAACAAGGGCCTCTTAACGCGCCACCAACACACTGGAGTGGGCGTGAATAACGATCTCTCGCTGACTAAAACACAAAATTATGTAAAGCAAAATTTATTATTCATGTAGCAAAAACTATTCATGGTTCGAAATCGAATGTTTGGTTTACACAATTGTAAAATCAGCAATTTTGTAAACAATCTATTTTATTATTATTATTAATCGCAGCCTTATTATAGAAAATACTCCAAAATTACAACTATTCTAAAAAAAAATTGGAATAATACAAAACAAAGTTGAAAATAATGAATGCCAATCACTGGATTTACTCAATCATGAAAACTTTAAACTTTCATGAAAGAGTTTAAGATTTAAAGATTGTAACAATCCGATTGTGGGCGACCACTGGAGGTTGGACTGATCACCCAACAAAATTCTTTAGCATTGTATAATATAATAGCGCTCATGCAATGACAAAAAAAAACCCCTGTCGGTTGTAAGAATACTCAATGCCCGTACAAGAGGTATTGACAACAGCAAGAGAAAAATCATGATTTGAGGCTAACAGACGGGCTGGGTCTCAACTAGAGTTGACGCCCGGCTAGTTTTAGCCCTTTTCCATTTTGATTATGGAACATTGAACTTCTAGAAGAAAGCCCTCAGAAAAGCGCCAAATTGCTGATTTTGGAGGTAAGGCAGAGAAATAAGTTAATTCGTCTTTTAACTTATTTTTCCCATTTCATATTATCATTTTTAAATTTTAATTTAAAGGAAAACTAAAATTAAGTTCAAGTTTCGGCTTCACATTCCATTCATGTCTGGTTCTAACCAAGATTGGTGAGAATGTAGTTTTGAGAGATATATCCTTGATTCAGGTGATATTTCAGAGGGAAATATGTAGAATATTAACCAAACAATGTTTTCCGATAGGCTAATTAATTTTTCTGTTTTGTTTAAAATGTGTAATATAGGCCTCTGGTAAATTTACAAGGTGGGACGCACATGTTTTTAAGTTTTACTTTTGGGAATAATTAAGACAACTCCAAGGATACTAATAGCCTAGATTTGTTGTCTGCCTCAATTCATCAAGTAGTAAATTTTTAGGTAATATAATTTTGTAAACTTAAATTTTATGCCTAGGCCTAGCCTATTCAACTGGACAAACCAAGTGTTCTTAAAAGGCCCCATTTCTTGGGCTCAAGGCTAGTAAGTATTAGACTGGTTCTGTTGTGCAAGAAGAGTATGTAATTCTAGATTAGGTTAGGTTTAGTATTCTTTTCAATAATGTTGCCATTTTACTAGATCAATTATTGTACTTTTTCAGTTTAATATCACAAGAGAGATAAGCCTAAGCTGAACTGAGTCAATTTCTGAAAGACATAAGACACTGAGTATATTTTGTTCATAAGCCGACACTGATTTTGTTAGTTCGGAGCGATACCGTAACTCCTTGCTCTAACTTGGAATTTTGTGTAAATAAAAGAAGGCTCTACAACCTAATGTAATATGAATATGTCTTTAAATTCTTTCATTATTTTAAATGTTGAGTCTCCTGTTAATTTCACGTTTTACTTTAGATTATATTATATAATTTACATTTTATTTGTAATAATTCAAAATAGGCCTAAGGCCTACACAGTGGGCCCCCCACTATGTAAATGTTGTGTATACGCCATACTATTATGTTTTGGGGTTTATATAGGGCTGGTATTCTGGTCTACTGCCGTGGAGACGTGCCTCGAGAATTCACCTGTGGACTGCGAAGAGACTGGTGAAGGGACGTGGAGAGCGGCCTATTCCAGACACGGCCATACTTAGGGCTACCTGGGACTAAAGCAGACTCGTGGAACACACACCCCCTCTTTGAGTCTGAGGGACTTCGCTTCAATTCCGATAAGTGATCACTTGTACAGTAAACTTACCATTAGAGTAAACATCACTTGTAAGAAACCCCAGTTAATTTGGTTGCTGGACAGCCTATCATAACAGTGGACCTTAGTGCGACGGACCCAGAACTTAGGCACATTTGGATTTTCCGGGATCTACGGATTGTTGTGTCAATTCATCTGGTTGGAGGGAGTGGGAATTAGTAATAGATAGGTTAGGCCTATTTTTGATGTTCCTATACATATATATTTTTGTATATTCATGTATATTATTTTTCGTTTATGCACTTGTTATTTCAGCGGGTGGCCACCGTCAGCTCATTTTTGTTAGATAATTAAGTTGTTTAGATTTTAGGAATATTACTGGTCTCAAAGGGTCCATTTAATTAGATATCTCATGTGATAGGTATAACCCATTAACTGGGTAAAGGGAACCCGCCATCTTTGATTGTTTGATTGAGATTTCGTATATATATCTGGCACACGATTTCTGATTTAGAGTACTTTTTGTTTGCCATTAACTCTTGTACATTGTCCGATTCAGCAAAAGTGTCTTAAACAAAGAATTGATTAAAGATAATTGTATTCTTCCAGAAATGTTCTTTTCATTGATCTCCTTGCTTGTCTAGGTCAGTAGGCAACCAATCAACAAATTGCTAGTGTGGCTTAAGCCAATTCTTTTCAGTAAATTTTAAACTTAAATTGAGAGGCATTAACTTAAAGGGGTAAAATAATTTCATGTTGGAGCCTTAGTCCTAAGTAATTGATCACTATTTTCTCGAATTTGAAAAATATTAGGTACTGTGTATTTGAATATTTATTTGTGGTTGATACTCTAGACAGACTGAACCTATTAGGGAAATGGATGTTACGGCATCAGACATTGAGTTCGAGTCAATTTAGGGTATAACCCTCTGCCTTACTAACTTAGCAACCACGAGAAGAGTTTTTCTCTGCGTTGTGAACCTTTAAGATAGATCTCCAAACAGAGTGGCGTCCCTAAACCGAGCTAGCACCACAGATCCGGTTGCTATAGAAGTTTAAGGTTGAAAGGAAAGTATTTGTGATTGAACCCGACCCATCTCCCTGAGCAAAGCTCGGCACAACAGTTAGTGAGGCTGCAAGATCATAAAAATCATAAAGATCATAGAGATCAAAAGTGTACACTCTCTAATTATGAGAATTAAAGAAAGATCATTCATATCAATTACTGAGATATGAACTCCATTTAAGGAAATCATCTTTACACTTATTACCAATGCAAAATATTGGTGTATATTGTCATGGACAAAATATTGTTTATATGACTGTTTATCTGTTAATATTCCACATTCAACTGCTTTCATAGTGAGCTTCGATCCTCCAGCTGGTTCCTGAAGCTGGTTTTGATTATATTACAACTAAACAGAAAATAAGTATTCGCATGAGATACTACACACAACCCTCCGGACGTGTCATGCGTGCACTTTTCAGTTCACAGAGGTGTCTGTGATAAACGAGACAAACTTGTGTGTAGACGGAAAGATGACTTCCTTCAAATGAAAGTAAATGAAATGAAAGATTCTATATTTTACCAGGCAAAGTTAGGGCCACATGGCTTTTTCTTACACTTAACGTGACAAACGTAAATAAAAAAAAAAAATACAATGAGATTTCTTAATCTAATAAAAAATCTACGTATTTAACAAATCAAGAACAGGTTAAACAAAAATGCAATTTAACATAATAATAATAATTTTAAATAGAAATAACCAAATACACGTTCACACTCTTACACGCATACGCACCAGCAATCGCGCAAAGACCCAGAAGCCCTAGGACACGCCAGCCGAGACCATTTGCTTAAAGTGGAGATTTTTTAGTGCCACCACAAACTGGGAACGTTTTTCAAGTGATTTAATGTGCAGGGGTAGTCCATTCCAAAGACGGCAAGCGGTAACAACAAAACCCCTGTTATAAGCGGCGGTCACATGATGAAGTATACACAATGTGATCAAAGAAGAACGAGAAATTCGTGAACTACCCTGGGACACAAATTTAAAATCTGATGTAAAATATTTTGGAGAGCCTGATAAAAAAAACCAATGAAAACATTTTGATGGATCCTTCATAATTGGATTTCAAGATGTTTGCCTCAAGATAGTATGGCGTGATATGCTCCTAACGCCACAGATCATAGAAAAATCTCAAACAAAAATTCTGAAACCGCTAGAGCATACCCGCCTGAATCACAGTCATGTCATTGATTAATGAGTTGCAGTAACTGAAGTGGGGTAGTACAAATGATCAAATAAAGTTTGGAGTTTTGTGGCAAAATGTTCTCCGTAACTGATGTGTCCCAAGTAAGTGAAGAGTTGAAAGATATGCCAAGATTCTTTACTTTGTCGTAGTAGGGAAGTGCTTTGCCACTCACTGTGATTGGGTTTATGGAGTGTAAGTCAATTAAAGTGCGAAGTCGAGGGTGGCAGATTACAATCGGTTTTGTCTTTTCGTTATTTAGTCTCAGTCAATTATTCTCAGTCCAAGTACTATTCGGTTGACATCTTCATTGATCCTTCTGACACAGTCATTTTCGTTGTTTGCAGTAAAATAGTCATAAATTTGTAAGTCGTCAGAGTACATGTCGTGTTTACAGTTGGTCAAGGTCGAGAATTTCTTACGCATTTTAGATTTGTGTAGCTCACCTGAGAGCAGCACTGAACACACCAGACATAAAGACTCCAGGAAAGCCCGGCACTGCACCGGCGATCTCCATTACGAAGTACGGCAACAACTGGTCTGACTTGCCGATCATCTGTGAAAATAGGTGAAAACTGGAGAGTTCTTACTACCAAACCGGCGAAACACAACCCGAAATTCGGATTATTTACACACTGGCATTCTAACGGAGAGGGAGATTGTATTTTCCATAGACTGGATACTACAAAAATATTTTATCTTCTAAGTGATTGTTAGAATGGCTGCACATAAACGCCGGTTTAAAATGGCCCAAAGAGAAGGTTTGCACAGCAACTACGCGGTTAAAGTTCAGCAAAAGATGTAGAGGGTTTTAAGTATTACAGTATATAAAAGACGTGTGTAGTACAGTGTATCTTTGTCGGCTACAATAAACGAATTATTATTATTATTATTAATTAATGTTGCCGAGGCCTCTCGACTTTATAATTAGTTATTTTCCATCTAAAAATGCGTGTCGTTTTATAAGAAAGCAAAAAAAAACAAAAAAAAAAAAACTAAAAAATGTGGTTAACAAGGATTGGACGTTTCTGCTCGTGGCGAATCGAGAGTTGCGAGATTATTGTCATGTGAAATACTTGTACGAAACTTCAGACCCAGTTGTTCAAAATACGACTTTTAATGTCATAAAGGGCAAATCTATATAAATAAAATTAGAGTTTTGTCTGTACTTTGCTCAGAATTATATACTTTTAGGTTATTTTTACGTTTTATACATTAAAGAAGCAGAAACGAGTCTTATCTCTATTTCTGTCTGTCTGTCTTTCCCTTTGTCTGTAACACTCAAGATGGCATTTTACGCAATCTTCTCCGTGAAAACCAGAGTACCTATCAAGATCCAAGTCATTTTAATGTATTCACTGGATTGGCGAGAGTGTCTTTAGTGATTTAAATATAGCCTTACTACGTAAATAAAATTACGGACGTTCAAAAATGCAGTTTTGTGCGATTTTTGTCAAATTTTCGTTCAATTTTTATCACATAATCGTCTATGAAATAACGAACAGCTGTTCGGATCAAGATTATTTTTTCTAGCTGTCAATGATATGTTTACAAATGTTGTTTACAAATACCGCAACCATTTCGAATCACGTTTGGAAAGCAAATCCCAACCAAGTGAGATTAAAAACGTTTTTCTTACATAACGGATTTAATTAATCGCAAGTGCAATAATATAGTCTAATAGTGTAACCGTAAATGAAATTAAATAACTAGACATCGTCCAAATCGGAACCAGAAATTCTTTGAGTATAAAATGTTTCTTGAGTTTTGACAACCAGAAAGAAGACCTTGAATCAGTGTTGTATAGGGCTGGACACTGAAATAATCGTCGCCAATAGCTTACAAAAAAGGTTTCCACTCATTGACGGCGCTTCAATGGCGGTTGTGTAAAGTGTAAAGTAAAAAATCACAACTGCAGTGGGTGATTGTAACAGAGGTTTAACAGAGGAAGTGCTAAACTCGCTTTTCCAATGTGTCACTTTCTGTTTCTACTCACCGTGTGATGCAATCGCTGGACCATACAGCCAATAGGCCCATAGCTCATATCTTGGGTACGTAAGCCTACATATTTATTCATAACAACCTTTTTGACGACGATCCTTGATACCGGTACTTTTCCATAGAATACATGGCCTACCTACTTAAGAAATATAATTACAAATGACCAAAACCCCAACATTGTGTGATTTTCGTCACATTTCCTTCTAATGTTAAAAGATATACTAATCATTGTTTAGAGAATGCGTAATCTATTAAATAACAAAAAGTTGTTTGGGTAAGGTTGTTTTTTTTTTTTAAAACTGACACCGATAAGTTTACGCTATAACTTTTTACGAGAAAATCCAAAAGCAAGAGATTAATAACCTCGGGACTAGATATTAATGTATTTAATTGGTCGGATGTACTATAGTTCTTAGGTAGGTTCTTACGTAGGTACTGGTTCTTTTCCTTAGAACCGTTGGTAGCTGCTAGAATCATTTTTACGTAGGTACCAACACATCACTGTAGTTTACAAATTAGTTATCGTTGGTGTTGCACCTTATTTATTAGAGCCGTCCGTATTCAATTTAAGTGACGTCTTAACTCTGTATAAGTTTTGCTTTTTCTGTCTGGATTCCAAATCTTAGCTTACCCGGTATGCTAAGAAAATGATAACCTATTTGAGTAAAACATTTGTTGGGCAAACCATCATGAATTGTTTACGCCTTTATATTGTTTATGTATCAATAGTTCGTGGCCTTTATTGGATTGTTGTGTGTATGTCTGTTGGTAACGCATTAATGTCCTTATTTCTCAGTGTTTCACGGAATGGACAAGAGCACCTTTGATACTGAAAATGTCAACCGGAATAAAGTGTTAAATGGTGAGGTTGAGGTAGTACTTTAAATACGTTTAAGTTAACCGATGTGGAAAGTAACTTTCAATTATAGGCCTACTTTAGGGCTACACTTCATGGATCTATAAAACATTTTTTAGTTTAATCATTGGACATATGGACCATAACGATCCCGGTGACATTTAATTGCGAAGCATTTATTTTGGCTTGAACTGTCAGATACTGTATTTGCGAAGGTTTATATATAATAGTTTTGCCAGCATATCTGCAAATATGCAAACTAACTGCTGTTCTTAATCTTAATATAAGAAGGTTTCAACTGACTACTATAAGATCCCCGTGCGTAGAACGGGCACACAGCTAGTTTTAACTAATTATAATAAATATTATAAATTAGAAATGTTATTATAAATATTATTGTGTTGATATCAAAAGAAATATCTGCAATAATCACTCATATGACATAAACCAAAGATAAACTTCCAATAAAATACTTTCTAGAGATGGACGTCAAAAGTACTTGAATTATAATAAAACCTGAAAATAGATGCGTAATAAAAATGCGACAGTTTTTCTCCTGACCTTGGTTGAGACGGGGTCACAGTCGTGGAAGTATGCGAAGAGAACAAGACCTGTGTAGCAGCACATCGACACCAACCCCATGATACCCACGGCCAGAATCAGCACTGTGCTAGCAACAAGCATAAATGTGATCAAACAAACCTTCATTCTCTTATTCATAAATTGGGATCATATAAGTGAAATTGAAAATGAGAATCCTCCTCCTGATAGGATAAATTTGTAGAATGCAGTGTGAACGAATTGCACAAAGCCATAACATCAGTAATAGAGGTTCGCTCCAATATTCCCCTTACAAAAATGCATTAAAGTTCTATTAGGTACTCAAATAAGATTATTTATTACATCTGAATTAAGGATCTTTTCGTATGATATTTTAAGAACACAGAGGTGAAATAAATAGTTAAAAATGTTGTTAGAGTGTATTTTTCTTACTACGATATAGCAGGTTGAATATTAAAAGAAAACAATGCAAATGTATTGTATTTAAAGTACTGATATTCTATGTTGTGATAAATTTATAGCCTTTTTCTCACGACCTAATTAGTTATTTACTGCATTTAAGATATAACGCAAAATCAATATTACTAGTGCTTTTGATATAGGACTAATAAATTACAAACTATGTGGATTTCCTACTCAGGTTTGTACCTTTATTATTAAATAATTTATATAACTGTTGGATTAAGCTAATAGAATATACATGGTGTCTTACCTAAAGTAAACCAATAGATATTTTTTTACTATGAGAAATAGAGTTAAACTATTATGGGGCACTCCCCTATTTTTTTAAGATAAATAAATAAATAAATAAAAAGGCCTTTATTTACAAGCAAGTTTTATATACAAGATGTTTGAGAATTTGTTAAATATGTCCACGATTTTCCAATATAGCTGACAACTTTGTTATTTCTTATGTAACCTGTATTTTATGATTGTTTTATAATGCAAATGCAATTAAAAAAACGCGGTTATTCTTCAATTTTTTTTTTAAAGCTACTAGTTTAGGTGTTAAAAGGGTGTTACACCTGAGAAAGATGGCTGGCTTGTGGTGTACAGTCTCCATCATGTAACTCCTAATAGTAAGTTTAGAGAGAAAATGCAAAGAATAAATGAGTCTTGAAATCGCATATAAATTCTGTAAAAGACCATAAAATACCGAGTGTTCCAATCGTAAAGATAGCTGCCATTTGGATGAATATTTCTAATATTAGAAAGTCAAAATGTTTTCTTTTTATCCGTCGCAATATCTCCAACACTAATACTTACTAGTTAGCTTTTCTCAGGGTAGGCATGGCCAGGCAGCGTTGCACCATTGCCTGGTTGACAGAGCAGGCGGCCAACCAGTAGAAGTAATTGCCGAACAACATAGTCCACAGCGTGTGTCTGGTGGTTATGTCAAGGTCCGTGCTGTAACATATGTAGGAAGTGTTAAATACAGCAAGGTGCCTGCCAGGCCACGTTGTAAAGCCGCATCCCCAATATACCGACAGCGGCTAAACGACATAGTTATCAATGAATTATCACCGTCTTGCAAACTGCATCGTGACATGCGGCTTAACCTACGATTAGTGTAAAACGAAGCTCGTGTCGCACATCGCTGAGACGTCGTCTGATAATGATTTGTTGTTATCAGCTGCGTCAGTTATTATCGTAAGTGCAGTAGAACAATACATGCGGCTTTAATTGTGGACGCAGCACGCGTCGAAATAGATATCTAAACATTATCGTCTGGTGGTTGAATTTATAAGCTGGGAAGGCCTTTAACGCCCGATGGTAGTGTTAAGTGACTAGTTTCTTTATGCAAGCTTAGTAACTCAGTTAAATAAATAAACGATTATTTTAAGTTACAAAGTCAAGAGAAGTAATTTTAACTGCCAGAAAGTGTGAAACAACTACTTTCTACATTTGTAACGGAAATCATTCAATTTGGAATAGCCTAGACTTAAGAAAATCGGAATAAACCTCTTTAACGGTTATTTCTAGATTATGAAACACGCATGCTACGTGCAAAGGCTAGCGGAAGGGACTATTAGAGGAATTAGTTAACTACGTTGAAAAAGAGTCGCCCTTGATACCTAATCTGAATGGCTCAACTAACAATCGCGAACATCGTCTGTGGAGCCTACCAACATAAAGAAAACCACAAAAAAATGAAATATGTATATGAAATATGTAGAAATGGTGTATATTCTTGATATTACACCTCCTCCATAGCAAAATCAAGTCTACTTCAGGTTAGAAGAAACGTTACGCACTTGGAAAATACGCCTTTTGTAAAAATTGTATGAATTTATTACTTGGATGACAAAACAGGGCATTAAAAATGTACTAAATAAATCCATCTTTTGTAAAACACGGATATTGGCAAAGTTCTATAGAATGATATTTTCTTTTTTCGGTATTCAGATATCAAAATAAATCGGTCCAATTAAACTACATATGTCCAATCTGCTGTATACATTAAGAATAGTTAAAAAACTAATTTGAAAACCAAACACACCCACGCTTGTCAGTGAAACACATTATCATGCACAATTGATTTAGTATGACTAACAAAGTTTTTACCGCATACTTAAGGAATTCCAGTCTTCCAGACAATCTATTTCGCTCCCAAACCACACCAGGCCCTCCTAAATGCCACGTACCCATCACTAGGACCACAACTACACCTGCCAGCATCAGGATGGTCTGTAGCGTGTCTGTCCATACCACCGCCTTCAGTCCTCCCTGAAAACCAAATCCAGGTATTACGATGTGATGAGAATGCCAAGACGTGCTGTTGCCGAGTTATTAAACAGCATAAGCTAAAGAAAAGTGTGAGTTGAAATAAGTGGATTCTGAAATTACATTTTAGTGTTTGGTTAGTTCTGGAAAGTCGAGTAGTTAGTGCACATCTTTCAATCTGAAGGTCGCTGGTTCGATTCCAAGCCAAGTTGTCAAGTTGATGTAATTTACAAGTGGATGGTTTCGACTGTTCCCCATAAGTCTTCATCAGTGGTAGTCATTTTGGATTTCAGTACTATAAGAGCAATGCTAAATTTGACAGAACATACATTAGAATCAGTATGCCGGTGTTATATATAATGATATAGTTTAGAAAATTTACGATTCGGTTTATAGCATAGAGTAGAGAATCGAGAAATGACATTCAAAATATTTGTTTTTGTTTTTTTCTAGAAAAAAACTTGTAATTGAAGGCTTAGTTAATGATCATTAACATATTAAGTGGAGGGAAAATGACAAAACTAAAATCATCACTCCCTTGAGGACCACTAAATCTTAACTTTAACACCTCAATCATTATGTTATCACAACAGGTTTTTTAGAAATCCTGTTACAAAGTTAACATTGCTCTTATGGGACTAAAAACCAATATGGCTACCACTGATGAAGAATCTTACTCTTAAGACATACTTTGTATTGAATAAGTACATCAAAGAGATGTCCCTAGTAGCAAGAAATCTAAGGCAAATCGCTAATTTGATTTGTGCAAGTATTGCTTCCCTGAAGCAGGTGTCGGGTTTTTTATTTTTTGGGTCCAACATTTTCAAAAAGGTAATAACAATTATTATATCGAGACATTCTAGTAAAATTTTTAAACAAAGCATTTATATTAAGCTCCAAACATGTCATCAAACGTCCACGACTTAAACTTTCTGCGAGGAGCACGTTACAGAACACAAATGAGGACACCTACTCAGCATGCTCTAGAGGCATGCTTCACCTGCGTGCATTAAAACGACAATTGAAACGAAAGTAGAAAAATAGTCGAATATAAATTCAATAAAGTGTGAACATAGCTTGAAAGACCAACTCTGTCAAAAAGTAAACTCTCTGGAAGTGGTAGGCATAACGCATTCATTCATCACATCCTGGAATTACACAAAAGCAACATGGTGTGCACCTAAAGTGAACTTAAACAACGAGCACAGCAATGTTACAAAAATGTTCTCCGCAGTAAAAAATGTATTAGGGAAAGATAAAACAGGATAAGAGAAAAAACTAAACGTAAAAGGTACCAAAGCCATACCAAAGAATTTAGCTCCTTTCACAAGCTACTCAACTACATGTATGATACACAATGGATATTAAGAAAAGGCACAAGAACGGTCATGGAAAAATAATTATACATGTGGTCAGATCAGCATGGACTTAAGTCAAGGCACGTCACCCATCCCACAGTCATAAAACTAAATTCATATTTGCATAACCCCCTCTAATACAGGCTATGACATTTTAATAAAATATCCCATTAAATTAAATACCCAGTCACGTTCTCCTATTGCTATAATGATGTATTGGCAACGTAATGTGTATATATCTCATCAAATTCTGATATTTACACATAAACTTACCACAGTTGTGTAGAAGATACAGACTATGCTTACAAGTGGAGTAATAAGATGAAGGTTCACACCAGTCACTGTAACATTAAAAAAAAATCAGTAATGTATGTTTAGTTAAGTCATTTTATTCTGAATTTTGGGAAACCCTGTGCTTTTGATACTTATGGCTTACTTAATTAAAAATGTATTTCTAGTGTTTGGCTGCTGATTTCCAACTGCTCCCACACTACATTATTTTGACGAACTTCCCACGCAAGGATTTGGTCCAGAAAACAGCTGTTTGCCGCCAGCTTATTCAAACGGGGTTTTATTGCCTACTACTGTACTGTAATGAGTTTTACCGGACACCAATCAGCTGATTATACTGTATTTAGGTGGCAATGAGTGGATATAAACAGAAACATAACCTCTCTTAGAGGTTATGCCTAGTGATAAAGTCCTTTAGTTGGTGAAAATATATAAGTATTTGTACAGATTTAGTAGTACTAGTGTGCATGTTGCTCGAAATCTAAGAAGTAAAGTAGTTATTTAAAAACAAATAAGTTATTTAAAAACGAATAAAAGTCATAATTTTCGATGAGTTTAAAAGACTCAACTCATAGATTACGTATCTAACAGTTCCATATAATCAACATTTCTTGTAAATAGTTTATAATTTTTCAAAAGCTGATCTGGTTTTTTAGTGTATTCTACAAATGTTCCCCACTTATAGCCGCATTAGGTTGTCCATGTTGATCTTCGTCAATGATAATGTAGTCTGCATTGTGCTACCCATGGTTGCCAATACGTTTACAAATTTCAGTCATTTTTTATAGCGATAACAATCTGTTTACATAACTTAAGAACTGCCTGACACTTCGGCTAACATCAGTAGTTGTAATTACTCAGTTGTATATGGGGCGGAGGGGGACCGGAGGTAATTAGTAATTACAACGAGTAATTACAATTAGTAATTACAATTAGTTTTTTTATGAGTATTTACAATTAATATTATTTTTTTGTAATGAGTATTTACAATTAGTTTTTTTTTGTTATGAGGATTAATAATTAGTTTTTTTTTGTAATGAGTTATCAACATTTTTTTATAAGTAATTACAATTAGTTCTTTTCGACAATGTGTAATTACCAATTAATACACATGGCGTAAGCGGTGGAAGGTAACCCTCACCTCCAGTGTTGTGAACTTCTCACAAAGATAGAAGGGGATGCTTCCACAATCCCTCCCTTCGCCACCCTTGCCACATGTTTCAACATAATTTATGATGTCTAGACACGTGGATTCCCTTGCAGGGGATACTTCCACAATCCCTTCCTTCACCAGCCTTGCCGAATGTTTCAACATAATGTATGATGTCTAGACACGTGGATTCCCTTGCAGGGGATACTACCACAATCCCTTCCTTCACCAGCCTTGCCAAATGTTTAGCATAATTTATGATGTCTAGACACGTGGATTCCCTTGCAGGGGATACTTCCACAATCCCTTCCTTCACCAGCCTTGCCAAATGTTTTAACATGATTTATGATGTCTAGACACGTGGATTCCCACGCAGGGGATACTTCCACGATCCCTCCCTTCACCAGCCTTGCCACATGTTTCAACATAATTTATGATGTCTAGACACGTGGATTAGTGCGTAGGAATCAACAGAGAGGGTTCATCACTGACACTATTACGTCACTGTCTTAGCTAAGCTGAGACAGTATGGAATAGTACTAATTATTAGTTTGATTGTTTGTTTGTTTGTTTTTATTTTTTTATAATTATTAATGTACATTATTGAGGAACCAGGAAGTCAAGCATTTAAAAAATTGTATCTAACTTAATCCTACTAATACTAAATCTATTTGAGTCCTCGGCTTTTTATCTCTTCGTCCAAGTTTATATATCGCTGCAACGCCATTCTTACTGTGTCCTGCGTGTGAGTGTCACAATATGCCCGTAATTCCCATTCAAAAATTACATCTTTCATTGCAGACATCAACTGCGACATGCTCATTGTCTTCATTACTGATTGTTCCCATCGTGCTTCAACCTCGATGCAGGCTTTGACTAAAGTCGTCTCACCAATGTCATTGATGAGATTATCTTCAGCCTCCGCCAAAATAGAAGCCTCGATTAGCTCGTCATTAATATCACTTCCAAAGGACATCGTGATGTTTGCTGGAGTGTAGGACGAGAAACGACGCCAAGATGAGAGATCTCCACTCTCGTCCCCTCCCCCTCATCCACTGCCCTCTCATTCCCTTCTTTCCAAATAACAAATCCCAGCCCTACATAAACTATGAAGGATTCATTATGCTTCCATTAGTCGTGTAGTGCGGACGTACCGATCACCAGTCCACTTCTACAATTGTGAGTTGATAGGTGCAGAGCAGTATCGAGATTTTGAATTAACCTTACAATCATAAAATGTAAGTATCACTAAATATATTTATTGTTACATACTTTGTATTCAAACAAATGTAGAAAGTAGTAACCAGAATTACTCCAGGTAATTAAATTTACTAGTAAGAAAAAGAGATAAATATTTAACTTAACTACTTGTCGACATTAAAAGATTAGATTTAAATTTGCATAAATAGAAGTAGTGACACCTGATTATAATAAGGTAATAAATTGAAAGAATTACATACAAATAAGTACAGCTGAGGTATTTTTAACATTATGTATATTAGTCTAGGCATATTAGGAAAGTTAGCGGAAAGTTTAGATACAGTCCTAATCATCACTTTTCTTAATGTTTTTTGGGTCGCTGAACACGAATATGAGGTTTGCTGACAGATATTTTGCCCAGAACATTGTTTATTTGGTGAAAAACCTTAAAATTTGGGCACTTTTTTTCGGGCAAATCTTGGTTATGATGGGTTTTTGAGAAGACCCTGCTTTGTAAAATTAAAGAAGACAAAATCTACTACAAGTTTCCTATATAATATTAGTTTCTACGACGAACCGTTACGCCACTAGAGCACACTAAATATGGCCAGAAGTACCAAAAATGAAAATAAACCCTAACCATTTTACAAAGGTTTTACATTAGGTTTCCATGGAAACAACCCATGTTACGATAATTTGAACTATTTATTCATCATAATGAACTGAAACACACTTCATAAATCTATGCCAAGATGTATGACTGGCTGCTGGAACATTTCCCGTTCCCACAAAACCCACATTTATTTTCTCAGCTCAAGGATGTTGCTGGCCACAGGGTCGACTGCTATAGTGATTGAGAAAAAAGGACGAAAGACATTAAAAGAGTTGTAGATAAATTTAACTTTGGTAACGTCAAATTCAGACGAGCAGACCGTGTCCAGCCACTTGCCATAATAAATAACGCGATGAAAGTAGAGAATTCTTACCCGTAAACCCTAACACATTAATTCAACGTATAAGCTTCGCTAAGAATTCTGGTGAAGAACTAAAACACTTCTTGTCCTACGAACTGGGTCCATACTCTTTCTCGTTGTTTGATAATAATGGTTTGCACAAGGAACCAAATCAAATATTTAAAGGCCTAAAGCCCCTAACCCCATTGAAAACAAGAACTTCCATGGTCAAGTGCAGTGTGTTATTGATGGTGGGCTCCTACTACACAAAAGTTATGGCCAGATCATCAACCTTTCAACTATCAAAAACCAAGCATCGACCAAGAAAAGGTTAATCGACAACATACTCACCACTCCTTACCTTGCTATAAAGAAGAAAACTGTAGGCAGCTGAGAATATTCAAAGACAAACTTCCTCAGTTTCTTACCCTTGAGGAAGCCTTAGAAGCAAATGAGGATGTGGAAGAAGATAATTTTTGTCTCCTCTTGGGCCCATCAAAAAAAGAATGGATGGAATTCCAGCCTTCAACCCGAAGAGAGTGAATTGATACAATAAAAAAAATTCACCATTTCCACCATTTTCCCCAATTTAATCTTAAAAGACGGGTTTTTCTTTCAGGTGGAGGCTTGTGGTCAGAGGACTTACTAGTTTGTTTATTTTTAGGTGTGTTTCAGTTTATTATCATTAATAAATAGTTAAAATTATCGTAACATGGGTTGTTTCCATGGAAACCTAATGTAAAACGGCAGCATTTAGCGAGGGTTTTATATTGTTTGTACTTCTGGCCTTTTTTAGTGTGATCTAGTGGCGAAACGGTTCGTCGTAGAAACAAACATTATGTATGAAACTTGTAGTAAACTTTGTCATCTTTAATTTTACAAAGCAGGGTTTTCTCAAAAGCCTATACTTACCGAGATTTGCCCGAAAAACAAAAAAGTGCCCAAATGTTAAAGTTTTTCACAAAATAAACAATGTTCCGGGCAAAATATCTGTCAGCAAACCTCATATTCGTGTTCAGCGGCCCAAAAAACATAAAGAAAAGTGATGATTAGGACTGTACCTAAACTTTCCGCTAACTGCCACTTATATTCCTAATATGCCTAGCATATATGGAAATTTCCCTTTAGAAAGGAATTACGATCTTAAAGGGAAATTTATGAAAAAATGGATAGTTTTCGCAAGGTTTCTCGTCATGACGAAAACTTTAAGTATATGGTTTATGAGAGAGTGACTTGTAATTTTCTCAAAAGTTCATGGGTACTTTGGGCTTTATATATGAATATTACAAGTATTTGTTTCGGTTTTCAGATCATGAATAATAACACCGTACGGCGTAGTTTCACTTGTTCCCTATGCGACAAGGCATTCACGCGGAAGGACAATTTGATGCGACATACTAGAATTTTGATGCGATACAATTAAAAAAAGAAAATTGCAAGGTAATGTCATGAACGAGACAACATTTTTTGATGACGACACCCAGAATACAACTCCTGCTCTTTCCCCTGCTCCCATTGGATCCCCCTGAAAACGAACCAGAACAAGAATTTCTTGATTCACATCCGGTCACAACGAAAGAAACTACGCCACCACGAAGCTTTAAGGCCCCTCCTAAAAAAGTTTCTAAGATAAGTAATGCCACAGCAGTTAAAAAATTGGTTATGCTGGAGGAGCAGAAAATCCAGATGTACAAGGAGAGAAATTCTGCTTCCCGATACGAAAATCCAGATTATAATTTCCTCGTAAGCCTACTCCCATTTTTAAAAAAAGTACCGGAAGAAATTAAAATGATTGTGAGGGCCAATCTTCAACAAGTGTTTTGCGATGAGGAGGAGTTTATGTTGAGACTCAAACAGCAACATCAACTACAGCCAATCCACCATTCACCACTTAGCATCCACACTGCAACATGTGGTTCATCAACGAGTAATAGTTGGGGAAGTTCTCCAGCACAAACGCCTCAGAGTACAGCTCAACATGAAGACCTTGCTTCGTTCTTTTCTAATGTATTGCCAGACGATTTGCAGTGAAAGTGCAAGTAACATTTTCCAATTGTACGGCTAACTTATTTAATTACTTATCCTTAATTGTTTTTTAACTTTTATAATTTCATTTCTATTGTAGTAAGAAATTAAACATTTTGTTAAAACTCACCTTACAGTAACAGCCAGTCTTTGTTGTGCTGAAATACATTTCCGAAAATTTGAGAACTTTGTTATTTTGTCTTCTAACCCCTCCAGGATGTATTCAAATGTTGATGGTCTCATCCTAAAATATTCAAAAAACCTTTCTGGTTCGTCGCACAAATCTTTAAACAACATTTTAAACTCTCCTTTCTCGTCTCTACTAACATTTTTTTTTTCTTCAGGAGGTCCGGATGAGTGCAAGAAAAGGTGGGCTTCCATTCGAGACCGGTTTCGTAGAACACCACAGAAGAGGAAAACAAAATCTTAAAAAGCGGCAAAGGAAAAGA